AAAATATTTTTTAAAGACTATAATTAAGCAACAGAAAGAAAGACACTGTTTATCAAATATGATCAGTCTAAACTTTTCAGAACCCAGTATTCTAAGTTTCACTTTTTCTTTGTGTTTTTTTCTTAAAAATAAGAAAGGAGAAGGAAGTTGTAATCAAACCTATTAGGTTTGTTTTCTTATTAGGAGCTAAAAAAGATTTAATAGAAGAAAGAAATTTTTATTGATATTAAATAGCGAAATACTAGCTTTATAGTTTTAATCTGCCCCCCCAACCCACATTAAAGTATTGAATGTTTGATTTCCACCCCCACTGTTTGTGGTGCTGTTTATAGGTGCACAGCCTTTGGGAGGTGGGGCCTGACTGGCAAAAATGTTTCATTTAATGGAAGGCCTTTGAGGGTAATAACGTACCACTCACTCCAACCACCGCTTCTGTTTTCTAGTCTGAACAATGTAAACAATTATCCAGCCACATACAATAGCCAGTGCCTACCCTACATGCAGCACTGAGACCTTCTGGAGTTAAAGTTAAAACAAGCCCTTCTTCCCTAACTGCTTCCGTCAGCTGTTTGTTCCATGGGAGAAGTAACAAGTATACTACTAGTTTCCTGTCCATTATAATGACAAAAAACACATCAAAGCTATTTTTCTTGAGAATTTCACTAGAACCCAAGAAAATCAACCTATAAGAGGAATTTCCATGGTCATCTACTGCATTTTTTGCAATCACACAGCATAGAGACAGATTTTTTTCTCCATAAACAGTAAGAAGTCTTGAGTGTTTCATAAAATTATGTTCAACAGAGCCAGGCATAGTGGCACATGTCTGTAGTTGTAGTACCCAGGGAGGCTGAGGCAGGAGAATGGTGAGTTTAAGGCCAGTCCAGGCAGCATACTGATACCCTATCTTAAAATAAATAAATTCCCAGTGGTTTTCTTTTTCTCTAATGCTGAGGATTGACAGCAGGGCCCAATGCTTGCTCTAACACTGAGTTCTGCCCAAGATCATTCTCTTTGCACCTTAGGAATAACCACACTTGGTACTCTGTCACTTTTCCTGAGGTCCAAGGTGGTTATGAAGATGATTTTTCCATTCAAAGAAGTGAAATGAGTATCATGTCACATGAAACCATAAAAGATGAATGGGGGAAAATTGTGTTACCTAAGCATCTGATAAACACTTTATACACAGGTAAAATAAGAATTTCCAATCACAGGGCTTACCAAGCATAGGTAATTCAGTGAGGGTGGGACTAGTCAATGTTTAACCAAGGCAAAGAGCACGATGTCAGTCCTCGCCCACACCTTACCACACTTTCCTTCACAAGCATGCACTCATGACTTCTAAACTTTAAACAGATGTAAGGCCAATGGCTCAAGGGAATCTAAAATAGACTGGCTACCCTAGTGAAAATGTTTCTCTTCTATTTCCCTATCAGTTTTCCATCAGGGCAATGACATCCGGTCGTAAGTTCACAGACAGACCTGATTAGCCTGAGGAATTTTCCGTAGACCTTTCTTCCCCTGCTTCTTACCAGCTGCCTTGCTGGACTTTGTTCTCCGAGCAGTTTCCATAGGGTTGTCCAGAATGTGGAGTTCTCGAACTCGACCCTGCTGCCTAGAATCGGCCTAAACACAAAGCCTCAGCAGGAAACCGCAACTAAGTCTCCTGACCCCTTTGGATCTCTGCAATGTCCCTGACGTGTCCTCTACAGTCACCATCTAGTTGGGATACTTTAGGTGGAATAAAGAATAGCCACAACATTTTGAGTATTCACTATGGAGATAGTAAAAATTATCTGCCCTCACTTGGTGGGTATAGAGCCTTATATCCCTATGACGTCTGTCCTGCCTCCAAGGGGAACTGCAGTGGCACATGGACCGGAATCCACCACAATGCGACAAGTAAGTGATATTATTATATGTAATTTTTTCCTCTTTGAGTTAACGACGTCTTTAGATGGACATTTTAACAGGAACATGTTGGTGGCAGGCACTGGGGCTGTCATATGTAGCTAACAGTTCCTTCTCTTAGTAGATTTTCTTCAATCTTCAAAAAGGGCTTTTATAGAGTACAGGAACAAACAGATTGAAATGAGTAAATACCCTCACTCCATAGCTATTATTAAACACTCTACATAAGTGATATTTGTAAATTTCTTCAAATAGCACTTGAAGTAGTACCACGTTTAAGAAGGAAGAATGAAATTTAAAACTGTACCTGTGAGGGTCTTTTGTGCTGGGTATGAATTTGTTACACTCTCTCTTGTAGAATACCCCTTCAATCCAAGATTTCTGAAACAGAGAAAAATGTTATTTTGTGATCTGTTTTAATGAAAGGTGAGTGTGGTATAACTATGGTAATTCAGGTAGGCAATATATATGTAATCATCATGATATTCATTAAAATACCGTGACCAGGGACTGGAGGCCCAGTTCATTCGGTAAAGTATTTGCTGCAACAAGCGTGAGGCCCTGAGTTCAGCTCCCTAACACTCAGCATAAAAGCCAGATGTGGTAGCATGCACCTGTAATTGTGCTCTGGGAAGGCAGAGAAGAGAAGATCCCTGGGTTCTACCAGAAAACTAATTAACTGACTGAGTAATAGAAGAAGACACCAATGTCAATCACTGGCCTCTCATGCACAAGCACACAAGTATGCATTCATACACAAACCAAATCAAATCAAGTTAAATACCCAGTAGCTTCTACAGCCTAATGTTCAAAATACAAAATCAACTGATGCAGAATTTCATCTTGAGTAACAAGGTCGTAGTAAAGCTATAACTGATACATTCCCTTAGACCTGCTAAGACTGACTTCCAGGTCTTGTGCCATAATCCCAACAACACATGACTATTGTGCTCTCCATACTTTTTAAAAAGAAGAACAAATACTATGATTTACTCTTGACATAATGGGGGAAAAAGGACGCACATATGCGCTGGTTTTCTCTAAGGCGATCACAGGGGCGTGTAAAATGAATCATTCAATCAGAAAAGCTAAGGCTAATAATATTAGGAGACTGGAGGCAGAAGCAAAATCTTCTAATCCAAATTTAGCCATAACTCCTTCCCGCTTGACCTTAATTCAACCTCAATGAGTTTTTTCTTAAACATCTATTAAAATAATAGAGACATAATTTTCTACATAAGGCAAACTGAAACCTTGCTCTATTGTCATAGATAATCAGGTATGAGACAATGGTATTGCTCTCACAAACACCGATAGCACAAAAGCCAAGGATATTAGAATAAAAATGAAGAAAATAGAGATATTTTGGTTGAAAGAATGAAAATATTCACTAGAATATTAATTCTAAACCCCGAGTATTTTCAAATATGGATCCATCTAATTGAAAATCGTGCACTCTTCATAATGATTGATTGGGTATAACTAGGTGATTGTGAATTGGAGTCACAAGGACTGAAAAGGTCTTATTGCTCTGTAAATCCCAGCATGACTAAGATATCAAAACACTGGAAAGCATGTCAAAGAACAGTTCCCATCTTGGCAGTTTCTTGAGACAGCCTGTGAGCACAGCTTACCATTGGCAACTTCACTTCGTGACACAAAACCTCCATGGGGACCTGAGGCTCACTCTTTCTTCTAGCAAAGGGTCTTCCATTCTACAAAATCCAAGTCATAGCCAACTGCATTAGAATGCATTCCAACTGCATTCGAAGTCTGGAAACACAAGACAGGGAGCCACCATTGCGCCCAACTAACAGACAAGCTTGGTTTTGTCATAGTATAAAACTGCTTTTTGGTTTATGTTTATTTGTTCATTTTAGATGCTATTTTCTATGTCTAGACATACTTTGCCTTCATAAGTGTATATGCACCACATGTATGCTTAGCTACTCCAGAAAGCCAAAAGATGACATCAGATCCCCTAGAACTGGAGTTATGAGCCACCATATGGTTTATGGGAATCAAACCCAAATTCCCTGGAAGATCACTAAAACCTCTTAACCACTGAGCCATCTCTCTGGACCTCTATATGAAAATATTTTGATGCCAAATAGCCTAAGATTAAAGGTGTGGATATAATTTTAGAAATCCATACCAAGTATAATGGAATGCAGGGGAAGTAACTGTATTCTAAATGCACAAACTCTAAATCCAAGGGTCTACTACTGAATACAGCACAAGATAACGGATCCAGATCTGAGTCAGATGGGAGAGGGGGCAGTGGGACCCTAGTCCTTCTGTCCCTTTTGCACAGTCTGCAACTATTTGTGTGAATTAAAAACAATCAATAAACTATAAAAATATAAATCCATAAAAATCAAAAATGACAGCATTTAAAATTAACAAAATAGACAGGAGCTCATGACATATTTATTATAAATGGCATGAACACTAAGAATCATTAAGCTCTATCCTTATTAAAAAGCATTAACAATTTTGCCCAGCTACTCTACAGACATATTAAATATTTAATTTTTGCAAAGTAATAGCGAAAGTGCTACAAAGGCATAAATATGTCTTCAAAGAATTTCTTATTCTGAATTTCCAAATGTTTGAATCTATTAAATAATTCAAAACTCCCTTGGACAGGCCTCCATGTTTACATACTGGGAAATCTGTAACAAATACGACAAGGTTCGTAATGTCAAGAAAAGTAGAAGCGAAGGGAGGAAGAGATAAAGACTGATATAATACATCATATGAACAGTGGTCTGTAAAAAAAAATTGCAAATCAGGTACAATAACAATCAAATTATTGCCTCAGCTCCTTCAGAAGCTGAGCTAGGGGAATCCCAGGAATTTGAGCCCAGAATGGCAACACAGCAAGATGCTATCTCCAAATACAAGTATATAAATAAATAAACAAAACAATCAGCTGACTGCAAAGAAGGGCCCTAGTTTAGAAGCATATATACGTACATATATACTAATATAATATATATACACACTAAGCAAGCTGAGCTCAGTCTACTCCTTTTTTCAAATATGCATTTATTTTATTTTTTATGCATATGAGTGCTTTGTCTGTGTGTATGTAAATGCACTATATATGTGTCTGGTGCCTCCAGAGGCCAGAAGAAGGCACAAGATTCCCTGAAACTGGAGTTATGGACAGTTGTGAGTAACCATGTGGGTGCTGGGAACCAAACCCAGGTTCTCTGAGAGCAGCCAGTGGTCTGAACTGCCGAGCCACCTCTTCAGCCCCTCGGCTTATTCTTTTCAAAGACTAGATAACAAACTCTCTGTTCTGACTCAATTTCTTCATTATCTATTTGCTCATTTGCAAAAATGAAAATGCTAGCCAAGACTAGCTCATCCAGGCATGTAGCTCAGTGGTAGCACATGTGCTTAGCATGTATAGCCCAAAATTTAATCCTGGCACAAAAACAATAGTTATAATAACACTCCGTCATAGACATATTGGAAAGATCTGTTCATTTAAAGTTTAGATTTCTTCCAAGGACTTACTATGTCTCTATAAAGCTTAGCTATCATCATTAGCTATACCAAAGGGTAAAATTAGTATTTGGTTATTATATTTTTGCCACAGAACAAAGTGAGTACCTCCAACTCTCCCTCATAGGACTCCTCAGAATATGATGTAATGGCCTTACACCTCCACTTTCTCCTTAAAGTCCAGATGATGCAGACCCAGTGTTAGTCATTTATGTTGTCCTAGGCCCCTACCCAAAAATTGTTGAATGAACAAAATGAACACCCTCAAAATAAACCTGTGGGTACCATTGTATATAATTTTCCGTTCAAGGGTATAAACAAGAAACCTGTGACATAACAGAAACAGGGAATTTTTTCTTGCAGTTCCTGTGCTTAACTCAAAACTATAGCAAAAGCTTCCAGTCCCAGCACTCAGGAGGCTGAGGCAGAAAGATGGATAGTTCAAAGCCAGCCTCAGCCACATAGTGAGGATGAGGTGCTGTAGCTGCCTCCACAGGTCAGCACTTTTTCCTTGTCAATTTGGCCTTGGAGGAGAAAAAGGCAGAGAAGAACCAGGGTTAGCCTCAATTTCCTTCACCCTAAATTAAAATTACCTTTTACATCCAATCTTAGACCCGAGGTAAAGCTGGGAAAGACAAAGAAACACCCAGAGATGGGCCTTGTAATAGCCACCATCCGTGAATGGTCCCAGCTCACACTACTGGTTTTTCTACAAGGCTGGTGACTGAACCCACACCTCACACGTGCTGGACAGGGACTCTATCCACAAGCCACTTTCCCAGGCCCTAGGGCTTTGAAATACTTTCCGAGCACAGATTCTTTCTGTGGAATCTCTGAAGAGACAGATTCTTGGAAGCGTCTCTTCATTTTAAATACCCACAATTCATTTTAACATCCGAGGGGCTAAAGGAAAAAAAGGAACAGATCACTTATTTTCATCCCAACACTTTTTCAGTCCTTCAAAGATCACACAAGAACTTCCCCACCGGAGATGACTCGCCCCCACTTTGATGTCACCTGTTCTACATGACACACAGCATGGCACTGTCACGGTGTAGCTGGATACATTCTGCTGCCTGTATTTATCAATTTTATTATGACCCACTTTAAATGAAGACAGTGTGCACTTAAAGAATCAAGTCGGCCGTGGTGGGTTTGCCAAGCATGTACAAGACCTGGATTCCAAACCCAGCACCTCTAAAAGAGAAAAGAAGGAGCATTGTCTGGCCTACGAGTGCTTCAGTAGATAGAGCACTTGCCTTGGACCGGTGAGGTCTGAAGTTCAAATCTCCAGCTCTCACGTGAAAGCCTGATCTATGTGGTGACTCACCTATAGCACCAACATACTGGAGGCAGAGATAGGGAGGACCTATAACAAGCTATGTAGACAGACTAGTGGAATCAGCCAGCTCTGAGATCAAGTGAAAGACCCTATCTCCATTTGTAAGATAAAGAGCAATCAAGATGCCCAATATCAACCTCCAGTCACTACATGCACATTCACACAATGCAGAGACACGCAGACAGAGAGAGAGAGAGAGAGAGAGAGAGACAGAGACAGAGACAGAGACAGAGACAGAGAAAGGGAAGGATAAAAGGAAGGAGAGAGAGATTCTAGTTACAGAGATTATTATCTTATGTATCTTGGAATTCACAATCGCTAGGAAACCACAAGAATGGCTCAAATGACACAATAATAATTTCAGACCTCAGAGTGACATTTGATGCTTTCTCTGTAGGACTTCTCCCTTAGAGCAATTCCTTCTTTCAAAATATGTGTCTCATAGATAAACCATCTGCTGGCTCAGGGGAGAGGCCACTCCTTTGGGAGAATCAGCTCTGGGAACTATTGTGTAAGTCTTGTGTGAACTCAGAAAGGATGCCTTGCCTTCTTCCTCAAGAGAAACAATCTCAAAAAAAAAAAAAAACATTCCTACCCAGAATTCCAAGAATTTAGTATCTGTTCCAGCAACACTTCTATGGGTATATTGACTGAATTTCCATTAAGTATTCTTCCAGGAAGCAGAATTTAGAAATACTCACAGAAAGAAAACATAAAAGAACCTTATTCTTTTTTCTCTTTTTTGATAGTAAAGGTGAGCCATTTTTATATTAGTAATTTCTATAACATCCCTAAAGTAGAATGTCAGTCAAATAACCCATGCATTACTAAAATGCATTTTCTTCTATGTAAACTAAAGACCTTCCCGTAGTGCTCTGTTAGGTGAAAGCATTAAGAATCCCAGAATGAATTTTTAGACTACATGAACTCATGGACAAATAAACAATCCATGCACATGCCCTTCACATGGCCAAATGGGGCAGTTAAAGACAACAGTGTCCTCCCATATATAAATAATAAAGTTGCATGCTTAACTGATGTCATGCCCCCTTCCTGCCACGCCCCTTCCTGTCTCTTCTTACGTTCTTTAAAGTTCTAAAGGGCTCAGGATTTTCAAAATATCAGTGAAAGATAACTTTTCCTGAGCTGTCACACACAGTTGTCCAGTCTTAGGAATAACTACAAATGTCAAGTCAGGAGTGCTGGCATACACCTTTTATCCCAGGACTCGGGAGGCAGATGCGGGGGGATCTCTGGGAGTTCCAGGACAGCCAGGGCTGTCACACAGAGAAACCCTGTCTCAAAAACTCTCTCCACCCGCCAAATGCAAATGTAAGACACCTGGGAGCTATGGGCGTGCTTTCACTTTGGTAAGAGAAAAAGAGAAAATTTCTGGGCAGTGGTGGTGCGCATCTTTAATCCCAGTGCTTGGGAGACAGAGGCATGGGGATCTCTGTGAGTTGGATGCAGCCTAGTCTACAGAGTGAGTTCCAGGACAGCCAGGAATACACAAAGAAACCCTGTCTCATGGAATGGGGAGGAAATAGAAATCTCTTCTATTAGTTTTTTTTTTTTTTGATAAGTGTCCCTAGATAATAAAATGGGAACGTTTTAAAGCAAACACCAGAATACTCATCTCATTACAGTTCTAACCTATTAAGACCTTCCCGGAAGATGCATAAAAGCCCCTCCCACTTTCAAGGAGCAAAAAAGCTACAAATGTGTGTCTATGAACGCAAGATCAAACCGACGGACCTATGTACAACGGGCAAATGCACGGCCACTGAGCTACATCCCAGTTCCTACTGATGG